AGTCATCTACGGGAACCACAGAGATACCCAGGACTAATAGCATGTTCCGCGTGTCCCCTCAAACCTTCGATTTTGGAATCTGGGAGTGTAGTTCACCTATAGCAGTGATGGCAAACCTTTTGAGCTCGGCGTGTCAGCATTTTGAAAAACTCTAACTTAGCTCTGGTGCCATGTCACATATAGAAATTTTTTGATCTTTGCAACCATAGTAAAACAAAGATTTATATTTTTGATATTTATTTTATATATTTAAATGCCATTTAACAAGGAAAAATCAACCAAAAAAATGAGTTCCCGTGTCACCTCTGACACGCATGTCATAGGTTCACCATCACTGCCCTATGGTGATGAGGCTGGTGGCCCACTGGGCGGCACCAGACACCTGGGTGACAGCTGGGGACGAGTGACCCCGTGGCACAGCCGCTTTCTCTTTGCTGGGCCCTTTGGTCAGGGAGTGGAGGCTTGGTTCCCAGCAGGTCCGAGGCTACTGGTTTCTTGCTTAAATTCAGGACTCCCCACACTAAGAGATGATGCTTTTACAGAGCTCAGTGGGAGAGGTGCCTCAGGATGGTTTGGGAATAAGAGGTGTCCTGTCCCCTTTTTGTCTCAGGCTCTGGGTCTTGTTCCCTCTAACAAAGTTCGGTGCCCAGTGAGTGCTGAGATCTGTTCCCCGGTAATGAAAGGTGACGGAGGCACCGGTTATAGCATGTCGGTCTATCTCTCCGTTTTCAGCTCTATTTACTTATTTATTTTTAAAGTAATGTCTTTTTAAAAAATATATATTAATTTCAGAGAGGAAGGATGAGGGAGAGAGAGATAGAAACATCAATGATGAGAGAGAATCATCGATTGGCTGCCTTCTGCGCGCCCCATACTGGGGATTGAGCCCGCAACCCGGGCATGTGCCCTTGAGTGGAATTGAACCTGGGACACTTCAGTCTGCAGGTGATGCTCTATCCACTGAGCCATACCGGCTAGGGCAGCGGTTCTCAACCTGTGGGTCGCGATTCCTTTGGAGTCGAATGTCCCTTTCACAGGGGTCGCCTAAGATCATCGGAAAACACATATATAATTACATATTGTTTTTGTGATTAATCACTATGCTTTAATTATGTTCAGTCTGTAACAATGAAAATACATCTTGCATATCAGATATTTACATTGCGGTGCATAACAGTAGCAAAATTACAGTTATGAAGTAGCAATGAAAATCATTTTATGGTTGGGGGTCACCACCACATGAGGAACTGTATTACAGGGTTGCGGCATGAGGAAGGTTGAGAACCACTGGGCTAGGGCTTCTCCGCTCTATTTAAACTTTGTTGCCTGTACCCTAGTTTCCACTTGCAGCAGCTCAGTCAGCTGTACGGTCCTATCCCCTTTTCTTCCTTTTTATCTATTTTAAAATATAATTGCTCTATTGAGAGATAATTCACATGGCATATAATTCAGTCATTTAGCACGTACCATTCCGTGGTGTTTAGTATATTCACAGAGCTGTATCCCCTTCTCTTAAGACTCAAGACCAACCCATGCCCTCTTCTCCCTGCGGCTCTCAGAGCCAGCCCTCTGTCTCCTCCGGCGCCACACAGATCCCATCCTCCAGACACACGGCCTTATTGTGGGACGGTGGCCAGCAGGCACTTTCCACCATTACAGTATTGACCGTCATCGGCCTGCAGGAGCCCAGCATTCACAGGCAGTGCTCCTCAGGTAGCCCCCTTCCCGCTGGCAAGCCCCATCACGACTCAAGGTCTCTTTATTTATAGCAACATTTTAAAGGCTAAACACAAATAACACTGCACATTTGCCAGCTGCCCGACTGGTGATGAACCTGCTCAGGACTCCGTGACTGTCCTTGAACAAGCTTAGTTCTGGGCAGATGAACCTGTCCAGTCACTGTCCCTTCCTCCTGGTGGGTTCCCTTCCAGTGAACACATGGGAGCTCTAAACAGACGACGCAATGAGCAATTACAGGGGACAGGGGCAAAAGTAGGTTTACAGTGGTGAGTCCGTGAAACGCAGAGTTTATCCTTGTATTACGATGTGTTCGTTATTGTATTACTTGTTTGAGCACTTATGAGAATGTACCTCAGTGCACTGTGAGATTCTTTTGAGTTAGAAAGCTATGGTAATATTTGTAACCTGCACATCTTTTTCCGTACAAACAACGGTAATTCAGCTTCTGCCCACCCTGCATATAACAGGTCCGGCGATGGTAAGTGCCGTGAAGAAAAATAAGGCGGATTAAAGGGGCGGAGGCTGATGGTGGGCTGGGGGGGGGGGGTGTCTATGTACAGTGGTCAGAAGACCATAAGGCCTGGTGATGTCTGAGTAAAGACCTGAGGGAGCGAGGAGTGAGCCCGTGAGGCCTGCGGGGAAGGACTTCCCAAGCAGAGGGAGTATTAAGTGCAGGGGCTCTGAGCAGGTGCCCACGTGCCTGGGGAGCAGCAGGGGCCTGTGCACACCTGGAGCGGACGGGGTGACAGAGGGACCTGAGGGCCGTTAGATCACCCTCGGGCCGGGGTACAGGCTGGGTGTACCTGTGTGACACGGGGGAAGGGTTGGAAGGGTTTGAGGACGGGAAGAACATGGCCCGATGGGAGTGGAAAGGCAGCGCTCTGGCTGCTTTGTGGAGCATGAAGAGAGGAGGCAGAGCTGGGGGTCAGGGGGTCAGTCCGCAGGCTGTCGGGGACCCAGGGGAGAGAAGGTGGTGGCAGAGCTCATTAGAAAGGGCTGGTTTGGATAATTTGAGGCGGTTTCAGAGGGTTTGTGTGTGGATCAGATGACGGGTCCGGAGGAGAGAGAACTCAAGGATGTCAAGGTTTTAGCCTAAGCCACGGGAAGGAGGAAGTTGTCACTTTCTGAAATGAGGAATCCTGGGAGGAACTCGAGGGTTAGATTTTTCTTTTTTAAAAATATATATTTTATTGATTTTTTACAGAGAGGAAGGGAGAGGGATAGAGAGTTAGAAACATCGATGAGAGAGAAGCATCGATCAGCTGCATCCTGCACACCCCCTACTGGGGATGTGCCCGCAACCAAGGTATATGCCCTTGACCAGAATCGAACTTGGGACCCTTGAGTCCACAGGCCGACGCTCTATCCATTGAGCCAAACCGGTTAGGGCTTCGAGGGTTAGATTTTGAACATAGTAGGTTTGGATGCCTATCTGAGTAGAACTCCACGCCTAGAATCCCAGGGATACTAATTAATAATTTAGTGAGGGCCCGTGGATGGACTTATGAAATAGCAGACGGCAGAACGTTTTACTGAAATAACTGCAGTAAAGATAGAAAACCATGCCGTGAGGAGGAATAAGTGAAGCAAGCACAAGGGAGGGTGAGGTGGCTTGTGCTGGGCGGGTAGAGGTCCCTCCTTCTATCCTGTGGGATGCCTGTGCCCCTGGGGAGCCTTCCTGGCTCCGCAGATGTGTGGCTCCGGTTGTTCCCAGCAGGCTGGTGGGGAGTGGAGAACAGGGTATGGGCCTTCCCTCTTGTCCTCAGTGCTAGGCGTTGGTCTTGGCACCTGGTAAAGGTTTGATGGGTGACCCTCCATTTCTGAGCCCCAGTTCTCCGTGTGTAAGATGCAGAGGTAGACTAGACCAGTGCACTGTGATCAGCTGGGAAGCTTAAAAAATGCAGGCATCGCTGGTCTGGCGTGGCCCAGTGGTTGAGTGTCAACCTATGAACCAGGAAGTCATGGTTCAATTCCTGGTCAGGGCACATGCCCCGGGTTGCAGGCTTGGTCCCCAGTGTGGGGCGTGCAGGAGGCAGCCGATCAATGATTCTCTCTCATCATTGATGTTTTTATCTCTCTCTCCCTCTCCTTCCTCTCTGAAATCAATAATTAAAAAAAAAATGCAGGGGTCCATCCCAGACCTACTGAGTCAGAATTTCCAGCTGGGAGCTGGGAGCTGGGATGGTGTTTCAGTCACGTGTTCTTCTTTTGCAGTCGGTGCAGCAGCTCCCCAGACGGGTGTCCGAGAGCCACCGGACCAGATACCTCCTGAGGCCCCTGCAACTCCAGCATCCTGTGAGTCTCAGAGTGCTCGCAGGATCACTCTGTTCTTGGGACGTGGGATTTTTGGTTGGGGTGGAAGGGCCTGGAGGGGGAGAGGAGAAGCTGCCACTGGGTGAAGGTGAAGGGCACCAGGGCAGGGGCATCAGCAGGGGTTTGGAGAGGCCTTAGGAGTGGACCCGGGAGGAATATGGGACCATTTTCCCCCCATGTCCTTTGGTCCAGCTAAAGTTTCTCCCTCCTCTCCCACCCACGGATGCAGTGTCTCTCTGTGGTCCGTGTTCAGCCACAGTCCAAACAGAAGCCCCTGCAGGTCACAGGAGCGGCGCTGACCTCGTGCCTGCTCACTCGGTCTCTTCGCCTCGCCAGTTTCCACTCCTGGAAGAAGCGCCTCCACCTGGCAGCCACCTCACGCACTTTCTTCCGGTCCCAGCTTCTGCTAAGTAATTTCTCTCCTTCCCTCCCTGCCTCCCTCCCTCCCTCCCTCTCTCTCTGTCCCTCTCCCTCACCCCATCTCTTTCTTTCTGTCTGTCTCTCACACTTGAGTCATTCTTTGGTCTCTTGCCCCTGCTATGTTTCTTCTTCTAAAATGCAAAGCTGATGGCAACTTCTCATTTACCCGCTTTTTAATATGTATATATTTCATTGATTTCAGAGAGAGGAAGGGAGAGGGAGAGAGAGAAACATCAATGATGAGAGAGAATCATGGATCGGTTGCCTCCTGCATGTCCTCACACTGGGGATCGAGCCCACACCCAGGCATGTGCCCTGATTGGGAATTGAACTGTGACCTCCTGGTTCATAGGTTGATGCTCAACCACTGAGCCACACGGGCCGGGCTCATTTACCCATTTTAAAATCCTTAACCATTGCACCCAGATGATATACATATATGTAAGCCATATTCAGCTGGGGGAGCAGGGTAAAGAGTTCACCCGCAGGTCCTAAAACACACGTACACGGGTCCTTTCTTCTAGTCCTGAGCCAACAAACAGTCGGCAGTTCAAGGAACCTTACTCGTGTTGTCTCGTAGCCCAGGGCCCCTTCATCACTCGGCTCTCGCGTTCCCAGTGTAAATCTGTGGCAAGCTGTTTGCCTCCTTGTCTCAGTAAACATTCTCAGTACAGATCAGATTTTCCTTAATGCTTTCAGGGTGCCCTCCTTCATGTCCAGTTACTGAAAGTTTATTAATCCACTGTTGCCGAACTTAATATTGCTAAGAAAAAGAAAAAAAAGACAACCAAGTTTAATGTTATTTAAACTTCAAAAGCTTCAATACTAAGGGAAAGAAAGCTCATCGACGTAGTGACATTTCTTGTTCTTATTTCTTAAGAGCCTTTTATTATTTTTATTTCTAAATTTGAATAAGTGTGGACATTTTCACATTTATATCATTTATCTGCAACAACTTCCATATGTTTTCTGACTAATGGATCCGGTTGTCTTTTGTCTGCATCTTTTTAAAAAATATATATTTTATTGATTTTTTTACAGAAAGGAAGGGAGAGGGATAGAGAGTTAGAAACATCGATCAGCTGCCTCCTGCACACCTCCGACTGGGGATGTGCCCGCAACCCAGGTACATGCCCTTGACTGGAATCGAACCTGTGACCCTTCAGTCCACAGGCCGACGCTCTGTCCACTGAGCCAAACCGGTGAGGGCTTTTGTCTGCATCTTTTATTTCAAACTTCAAGATGCTGCCCTCTTCTCTCTAGTATTTTGAGGTTTGATGAACAAACCTGTGCTTCAGGTAATGCTCCCCCGTCCCCTAAATCTTCATTTCTGCAGAATAAAATAGAGTTCTGTTTTTTGAGGCTCTCGTCAGAAAGCTCTTCATCTACGTTATAGCCTCAGCATTTCCCAGACCCTCTTCCTGCACTGGTGTGTCTTTCTCACGTTGTGGGGGCTGCAAACTACACAGCACACTCAGGCCCGGGCCCTGCGAAGTTTTGAATGAGGCAGGATCACAGGTTTCATGTTGTTTCCAGTGTCCTTTTGGTGATGCCAATGTGTTCTGGGCCTTTTGTGATGAGACATGTAACATGGTGTCATCAGGAAACAGTCTGGGCTGATTATAAAATAATTGTGTTATAAATAATCCTACATAATAAAAGGCTAATATGCAAATGGACCTAATGGCGAAACTACTGGTCGCTATGATATGTGCTGACCACCAGGGGGCAGACGCTCAATGCAGGAGCTGCCCCCTGGTGGTCAGTGCGCTCCCACAGGGGGAGCACCACTCAGCCAGAAGCTGGGCTCACGGCTGGCAAGCACAGTGGGAGTGGTGGGAGCCTCTCCTGACTCCGTGGCAGCGCTGAGGATGTCTGACTGTGGGCTTAGTCGGACATCCCCGAGGGCTCCTGGACTGCAAGAGGGCGCAGGCCAGGCTGAGGGACTCCCCGCACCCGCCCAGTGCACGAATTTCATGCACTGGGCCTCTAGTCCTGTATAATCATCTTTGCCATGTGCATATCAACTTCCTTAGGATAAGTTTCTGGAAGTGGAATTCGTGGGTCTTAAGTATGCATTATTAACTTGCTATGTTTTTTTTGGGGGGGGGTTTCAATAAGACATTTTTTACTTAAAAATGAGGTCTCTCTGCGACTGTCAACATGGATGTATGTGTCACATGATAAACCTAAGTTAAGGCATGAAACACGTTGACGTAAAATTAGTGCAGGAGCCCTGGCTGGGTGCCTCAGTTGGTTGGAGTGTCGTTCCATATGCCAGAAGGTTGTGGATTTGATTTCCGATCAGGGCCCATAGCTAGGTTATGGATTTGATCCCCAGTTGGGGTCTCCGATTGATGTTTCTCTTTCTCCTTTCTCCCTCCAAAATAAAAAGCAAAACAAACAAAAAAAACACCACCATATCCTCAGTGAGAATTAAAAAAAAAAAAGTGCTGAGAGTGCTGTACAAGTGTTTTATAAGAAATAAATATTACTGTTTTAAGCCACAACAATTCTCTACTGAGGTTGAATCCTGGGAAATGAAAAGCCCTGTGGGTCGGCGGAACATCTGGTAACCTTGGTCAATTTGGTGAGCCAAAAGTGGTTTCTCATTATTTTCATTTAAATTTTTCTAATTTTATTGATAGACTTTTTTTTTGGTATTTTCTCTCTCTGCTTTTATAACAGGGTAGATTTAAATATATATATGTGTGTGTGTGTGTGTGTGTGGCTGCCTCCTGCACACCTCTTACGGGGATGTGCCTGCAACCAAGGTACATGCCTTTGACCGGAATTGATCCTGGGACCCTTCAGTCTGCAGGCTGATGCTCTATCCACTGAGCAAAACCGGCTAGGGCCAGGGTATATTTGATTGATTTCTGTTTTCTACTTACAAACAGTATGATAGTTTACAGCAAGGCTTAAAGAAATACAAATACTGAGGTACACAGTGAGTCCCATCACTGTTATCGATGACTAGTGTTTTGAGTTTTCCTTATGAGGGCAAAACAGAAATCAGGACTGGATCTTAGGTTTTTAAAAGCATCAGCGTTGCCCTAGCCCCGCGGTCGGCAAACTGGTTCGCGAGCCACATGCGGCTCTTTGGCCCCTTGAGTGTGGCTCTTCCTAAGCCTTAGGAGGACCCTCATTAAGTGAATAACAATGTACCTACCTAGATAGTTTAAGTTTAAAAAATTTGGCTCTCAAAAGAAATTTCAATCGCTGTACTGTTGATATTTGGCTCTGTTGACTAATGAGTTTGCCAACCACTGGCGTAGCCAGTTTGGCTCAGTGGATAGAGCATCGGCCTGTGGACCGAAAGGCCCCAGGTTCGATGCCGGTCAAGGGCACATGCCTGGGTTGTGGGCTCAGTCCTACAAGCAGGAGGCAGCCAATCAATGATTCCCTCTCATCATTGATGTTTCTATCTCTCTCTTCCTCTCTGAAATCAATAAAAAATATATATTAAAAAAATAATAAAAGCATCAGCTTTGGTATTTAAAATTCAGAGTTTATAAATGTTTTTCCTGCTGCTGATGGTGAGCTGCCACATCCTTTACTCGCTCTGATTCTCCTAGCAAACGGCACCTTACCTCACCTCCGGCTGCTTTGAGCCGGTTGCTGAGATTTCTCTGTGTGGAGAGCATTGCTTTCTTCTGATGTAACACTTCTCTGCTTCAAGAGTGAGACAATAGGAGGCTCCCTGCTATTTCCCTGCACACCGCCAACTACCCCTCCTCCCCACATGCTCTTCCCAGCTCCTTAAAGAGACCCGTCTCTCTGCCTTCCTCCTCAGTCTTTTTTCCTAGATAGTAAAAAACAAAAAGGGGGTGGGGGTTGGGGGCGGGATAAGCTTATAAAGCGAACATCATACAGGTGTTTCCTTGGTATTGGGATGCCAAGTGCTTTCCCTGATGCCCAGTATCTTGCCCCTGGTTATGGGTTCCAATACTTCCCAGTCCAGGCACAGACATTCAGCAAGCTACCTGCCACCCCATTTCAGTATAGACAATTCACTTTATCATTATCCGCCATAACCAGGCGGCTTTCCAATGGGAGTGGTTTTTATTTCCTGTGAACTCTTAAGCAGGCAGGTGTATTTTGTTCGGAGGTTGGGGGGTGGGGGGCAAGAACGCAAACCTGCAAACCTGTTGGTCCCCCGGGGTGGTAACAGGTTTACCTCCCCCACGCCACCTGCTTCCCTGCGGTTCTGAGTGTTTTGTCTTTATTTTCCCATTTAAAAGTTACAAAAGCAGTTTATCTGCACAAAAAAATCTTTTGAAAAAATAACCCACCAGTAATCCTACCACCCTGTATAATTATTTTTCTCTTTCTTTTTATCTTGGCTCAAATGCAGACTTAGTTTTACATTGTTATAATCATAGTCTGACATGACAACACTTTGTATTCATTTTTTTTTTAACTTAACGCTACAAGTAACTTTCCGTGTTGCTATGTAGATGTCACAATTAGGATTTTTAAACATTTAAATATATTTGGGTAACATTGGTTAATGACATTATATAAATTTCAGGTATATAGCTTTATAATACAACATCTGTATATTGCATTGTGTCCTCCTCACCCAAAGTCTAGCCTCCTTCTGTTACCATATATTTGACCCCCTTTGCTCTCTTCATCCTCCCCACCCCCTTCCCCTCTGGTAACCTCCATTCAGTTATCTGTATCTATGAATTTGTTGATTTTTTATTTTTTAGAAAGAATTTATTTTATTTCATTTCAGAGGGAGGTGGTCCCCTCTGGTAACCTCCATTCAGTTATCTGTATATCAGTTTTTTTTTTTAGAAAGAATTTACTTTATTTCATTTCAGAGGGAGGTGGGGGGAGAGAGAGAGAGAGAGAAACATCAATGATGAGAGAAAATCATTGATTGGCTGCCTCCTGCACGCCCCCTACTGGGGATTGAGCCTGCAACCCAGGCATGTGCCTTGACCAGGAATTGATAGGTTGACACTCAACCACTGAGCCATGGAGGCCGTGTTTGTTGCTGTGCTTCTAAGCTCACTCACTTGGGCCTCTCCACAGGCTGCATGGTAGCTGGCTTTCCCTGAGTGCGTGATCCAAGGGAGATTTCTTGTCCTTTTTTGTCTTCTTTGTTTCACTTAGCACGGGACTCTCCTGAGCCATGCATGTTGTCACAGATGGCAGTGTTTCTTCCATCTTTCTCTGGCTGAGTAGTATTCCATTGTGTACATGTACCACCTCTTCCTTATCCAGTCATCTGTGGATGGACATTTAGCATAATTAGAATTTAAAAAATAACTTGAACTGTACACGGATTTTTTTGTTTGTTTGTTAATCTTCCCCCGAGGATATTTTTTCCACTGATTTTTAGAGAG